CCGCCCCCGCCCCCCTGCTGCTCTCTCACCTGCTGTTCATGTAAGAGAAACCGCTGGAAGTCGTGCAGGTGAACGGCAGAGGCATCCGGCCGGTCAGTGTTGCTGCCCTCAGGGAAAGAGAGGGTGTTTAGACAGGGACACATTTTCACAGCACAGAGGCAATTCTAGCCAGCAGGCTGGCCCACCAGGCAGCCTGCCACCCAGACATATCGCCAAGTCCCTCCACAGTGCCAGGAGCAGGCTGGCCCACAGGAAGACAAAGGTGACCTAGACAACATCCCTGACCTACACAGATAGATGCAAAGAATGCCAGAACCTCGGAGGGCAGGCCCTGGAATCTGCACTCCGCTGCTCCCTAGTGGTTCTGGTGCTGAAGAAGTGGGCGAGGGGGCAGGAGGGACAGCACGGACGTGTGTGTGCACACAGAAACATGCTTTGGCAGGGCTGGATGTGGACAGCATTTAGGGGGAGCTGGACAAGGAACTGGGCCACATCAGAGGGTCTCCTCAGAAGCCACAATCCAGAGTTTGCAGAGCCAGCGAGTGCTCTGAAGCAGGAGTGAGGGCCGGATGAAGCCCCCCAGACTCTGGGAGGATGGGGAGAAGCAGCTGGAACATGTAAGACTTGAGCCATGGGGTGAGCAGAGGCCAGCTGTTGGGAGAATTTTCCATTTGAGACGAGGGAACCCTGCACCCAGAATAAAGGGAGACTCTGCCTGGGCCAGCAGCTTGCTGACAGGTGGCCTTGTGGAGATGATGTTCACGGCTATCAAAAAACTGGGACCTCACTGACAGGCACAAGCAACTCTGGTTTCTACAGAAAGCACATTTTGTAGAACAGAGCTGTCCAGGGATAATTGTTCTTTTCCCTGAGCACTTGCAGAGGGTTGGGGAGAGAGGTCTTTTTAAAATTTTGGAGATAAACATGCTTTAAGTTTTCTCCCCCTACTAAACACTCAGGGTCAAAAAGTCTATTGTCTTTCCTTATGAGTGTATTTCTCGCCTTCTTTGCTAACCAGCTTCATGGTCTAACACTCATCTTTTCATAACATAAATACTATGTCAAAATCAGCTTCATTTTAATATATATACTTTGGAGTCTGGTTTAGAAAGCAACAGAGGGAACAACTGTCAGAACGTCCATATCAGTGAGGGCAGGTTCCAAAAAGCAGGCCCCGGTCAGCATGCTGCCAATCATGTTCTAGGTGCTTAACTCCATGGCAAACATTTCTCCCAGGCAGATAGGCTCAGGGAACTGAATACTTTTTAATCCCCCACCTGGGGAATTAGGAGCACAGTAAAAGTCCTGACAAGTCCTGCAGGACTTTTTAATAATATCATTATTACTATTTATAGGCCCTTGCCACACACCGTGTGAAGTACTGTATACGCTTTGACTCGTTTTGTTTCAGTTAAACCTGCTTAACCAGGAACTTCCCCAACTCACTTGGCCACTAACATCGTCTGAATTTGTGTAAAAAAACCTACTAACCAGCCATGTTCTATGAAGCCCACTCCAGGAAAGGAGGTCCTGAAGCATGTAGACTTTTCTACAGAACCTTCCAGGCCACCCTCCCGACATGCCACAAAACCCACCGCTACTGTTCATGTTTATCCATCCACAGGCTCAGCACGGCCAACCCCCCGATAGGAGGGCCCCCACCCCCGCCCCACACACACGGCCCTCTGGAGCAGCTGGCCGGGCTGGGAGGACCTAGAAGGGCACAGCTGCCGCCCTGAGCAACAACCACCCAGAAGAGAAGCCTCACCCCAAGATGAACACAGAGGAATCTTTCTTGAATTCATCAAGAATCTGAAATAGAAAATAGAGGGGAAACACACACAATTAAGAATTTTAGACAAGTCGAGCCACTTAATGCAAATAAAAAGATTCTGGGGGAGGTTAAAATATTATCACTGTAATTTGTGTGACTTAGTAAAGCAACTGAACAGATTATTTTCCTGTTAAAAAATTATCATGGTAATTTGTGTGACTTATAAACATTCAAATATAACTGAAACTTATGAAGCAAAAGGCAGAAGTCTTCCTCACCTCTTTCATAATCTCACTCCTGAGAAGCAATCACTCTGAATAATTTCATAGGTTTCCTTCTAGAATTTGTTTTACGGACATGATATTCATAATTATATTTTATATTATAGTTTATCATAACTTTTTGCTGTTGTTTCAAGCTTTATATATTATTCTACTACCTCAAATAGTCCTGCCTTTTTTTACTTTGAAAATCCACACTGTATTCCATAATATGTATATTATTGATTTCTTGCTATTATATCGAGTATTATAAAGAACGTCCATATATATATATAGCTTTGCCCACTTGTGCTAGTATTTCCATTGGGTAGATTACTAGATGGGAAAGCACCTGGATATGGGGTGTACATGTGAACTTTGGTAGATTCCACAAGTGGCTCTCAAAACAGTTGTCCCAACCAGCACCCCCACCAGCAAACACACCAACTTTCTTATATCCTCACTGCTACATTTTAAATCCTTAACATTTTGTAATGTTAATTGGGTACTGGGTGAAAATATTTAAGGGAGGATTTATACAAAATCATATGAGAAGAGGGAAGTGGGTGAGGGCACTGATGAAATCAGATAACCATGGGTTGATTACTGCTACAGCTGGCTGATGGCTCCATGGGGGTTGGTATACTATGATGTCTATTTGTATATGTTTGAAATTTCCCTTTAATACGAAAGTTTAAAAAATTAACATTAGTGGCTGGGCATTGAAGGTGGGCAAAGGAGAACTCAAACCCTAGCTCTGCCGCTTACTAGCTGCATGACGTCCAGCAATTAACCTCTCTGAGCCTCAGTTTCTTCATCTGTAAAATGGGGATGATAACAGTACCTCTCTCACAGGTTTGTGTAAATGTGTCAAACACACAGCGCCCAGCATAGAGTTCACACTTAAGAAACATTAGCAATGATCTGTATTCATAATATTGTTATTACAGCCCAGTGAGACGTATATCCCCTCACCAGGGGACATGCATGGAATTGCATTTATTATATTCCTACTGCTGCCAAACTTTTGGAAGCTCTGAGGCTTGAGCACAGCAACATAAGCAGGTGGTTAGACACAAAGAGGAGCTGGCAACTTCATGTTGGAAACCTATAATTACGCATGAGCAGGAACTCACTCCCTAGATTTAGATCTGGGGGTATTCAATCACCATAAACAACCCTATTTCCCCCAAGGAGTCCAAGAAATCCAGCTGAGCCCATAAGAACACACATCTGATGTTTTTCTCTGAGACTCAGAAAGTAAATTATATGCTAATAGTTGGGGAAGGGGGCATTGGCCTACCTAAGAGCAGAGAAGTTTCTCAAGTAACTGTCCAGTAACTATCGATAGAGCTTGGGGCTTTTTTATCCACATTCCAGGTCACTGAATTAATATGTGCAGTGGCCAAACTGGACAGTTACACTCTCCAATGTTGGAGATCAGACACTGTCAACCCCAAAAGTCTTTAGGGCCAGGTAGACAACATAAATCAGTAGAGAGCTGGGTAGAAGGTAGGGACTGGGGCAAACCAAAGAATGCATGCTTCGTTTCTACTCAGATGTCACCATGGGAAACTCAAGACCCACATATAGCAGGATCTCAATTTTTTTTCAAGAGAAGCGAAAAATCTGAATCTTGATATGAATCTCCCAGGTTTTAAATATAGGCAATTCATTAAAAAAAAAAAATTTAGGGCCAGCCGAGTGGCTCAGTTGGTTAAGAGCTCGCTCAAAAGTGTGAGCTCTGAGCAACAGCAGTTCGAGTACTGGCCCGAGCTGAGCTGCCACTGAGCTGCCAACAGGTGGCAGGATGGCTCAGCTGCGCTAAAAAAAAAAAAAAAATTTTTTTTTAAACCACTAGGCCACATACAACCAAATACAGGCTGAATGTGGCATTCTGGCCACCAAGGACAACCTCTGGTACAGACATTTTTTCCCAAAAAACACTGAGCAATCGAGGGTACCTCCAGAGGATTCAGGAATTCTGCAGAAACCTGACTCACATTTCTTTCTCTCCCTTCTCCCTCTCAAACACACACACACACACACACACACACACACACACACACGTTAGCCTTAAAAAGAACCATAATGAAAAAGTGCAGACTGAACTATATCTTACGTGAAGCTTTATCACAGTGGAGGCCATCAATGGATTAACCTGTGCTGACAGGTAAAACAGCTCTTATGCAAACCTATTTACAAGTGTTGCCTGCCATCTGCCTGATAAGACAGCATCCTGAAATTTCAAGGCAATGATGATAGGAACTGTTATTTGCAACTACTTGAATGAACCTAGCTTTTCTCAATCCTGGTCAACTGCATAAGATAGCAATTGTCATTATTCTAAATTTCATAGGTACACTGCCATCAAAACATTTTCATTGTTCTCAAGGACTGACTATAAATAAAAGTTGCAGATTTTAACTTAAAAAGCATTTTGATGAGCTTTTATGCAGGTTTATTTTTAGTAAGGTTTCATATAAAAGAGGGGAAGGGAGCTATATAAATAGTTTTATAACCAATGACCTGAATTAATGTCATGTAATGGAGGAAGCTGAGTGAGGAAGAAAAAGATGGCTTTTCCCAAAATAACTTGGTCAGTAAGAAGTCAAATTGGGGCTGGAATTCAGGTCTTTCAACTCCCAAAGCCTACAATCTTTCTAGTCTATTTGGCAAGCCAAGAACTAATTATTATATATGTGAAAAGGTGAACACACTGTAATTGAATTTTTTACTCTATAAAATAATGTATTTCCCCCCAATCTAGACAGACAGGAAATGCTTCTCCCATTTCTCTACCTCAGATACACCCAAAATCCCATGACCAGTGGTACCTATCCAAAGGCCTTACCTGTGGCCAGTCTGCAGTCCTGTATGCAGAAGGCAATTATAACTATCTTCTAGTGACTTTCACACTCATTACTTAATACACTCTCAACCCCTAATCCCTTGTTCAGTCCTCAGGCCAGTGAGGCAGGAATCACCACCCCCATTACACACAGAGGAGAAGACTGAGGCTGGAAGTGCTCAGTGGCGGACCCAAGATCACACAGCTGATTGGAGAAACCAGGCGATTCACCTGGCTCCAAGTCCCACATACTCTCTGCTCCCTTGCAACTCTGTTGGGGACCCACCTTTGCCACCTGCAAAGCTCTTTTCCAACAGTGACAGCACCCACCAGGCACTGTGCTCCATGTATTATACCGAATGCCCCACTTTTTAAGCCTTATGCTTTCTGGGGCTTTTTTTTTTACTGCAAAAGTAATGGAACCACTTGGAACTAGTCAAAGAAAATTGCAGTATGCAAAGAAAAATATAATTATCTCTCTTACCCATCTCCCCAAACCCCTCCAGGACACATATAAAATCAATATTAAATGTGAGGTGTGCATTCTTCCAAACTTCCTCCTTGCTCATTTAAAAAAGAAAACATGCAAACAATATAAAGGAGGATTATTGTATTGTTTTGTTTTTACAAAAGATCAGACCTAGTTCCTTGCGTGCATGGCTTTCCTCACAAAATGTCATGAACATCCTTCCTGATCAAAAGAAACACAGCTGACTGAGAATTCTTAATCAGCTGTAAAATGTTGCATAGCATGGATGAACCATAATTTACCCAGCTATTCCTCTACTGAGAGGCATTCAGATGGTGCCCAGGTGCTTTGTCGGCATAAGTAATGCTGCAATAAACAACGTGGTAATATATTCTTAGGTCCCAGTGCTTTCATTCTCTAAAACAGAGTCCCCAAAATGCCACAGTCAGGCCAAAATGTATTTTAAATTTACAATAGCATATTATCTTAAAACTATACTCTCATAAAAAATGAGTAAAAATTATAAAAAGAAGGCCTACACGAAATAATCCCTCAACCCAGAGATCATTACTATTCATAATTTGATAAATTTCCTTCCAGCTAAGCTAGCTGAACTTTTTAACTTCAATAGACTCAGGTTAAATTCCAATCAGACATACAGCCATTCACATTCCCACCAAGAAGGTATGCAAGCCAAATTCCCCCCCATTTACCCCATAGCTCTGTCACATTTAAAAACTTTTGTCAATCTAACAGATGAACATGGTATGTCCCTGTCATTCCCACTTTATAGTTCCATGACTGGAAAGGAGACGAACCACGTCTCTGCTTTTCTTAGGAACACGCTGGACTTTGAAACACAGGGGGAACAAAAACATCATGTGAACATTTGTTCGAGATTCATCTTACCGATTTTTGCTGGTCAAACATAAGTTTTTTATAGAAGAGATGGAACTGTTCAAAGCTGAGTTCATCTTTGTGCGCGCCAATTTCCTACAAATATATATATATATATATATTAAAAAAAAAGTGACCACACGATTTTTGCTGTCCACCATAAAAATGCCTCCACCTCAGTTACAGAAATAGAACTTTTCCACTAGGCTTTTCTACGACATGGGTTAAAATCAAACTGGCATTCCCCTGAACCGAAACTGTCCACTCGTTTCCGAATTTATCTGTCTGGAAAACACAACCACCAGGGACCTCACCAGGTAAGACCCTTCCTTTAACCCCCAAAAGGGAAGAGTCTTGACCAGGATTCCAAGAGTCATAATGAGAACTCCTCCTTTTGAGGGCATCGAAGACACTTTCAAATCTAGATGTATGTACAGGGTATAGACACACAGGTCACTTTTTAAAGCATAAGGAAACTAACCAAGCCTTTAGGTTAGTCAGAGCTCAACTCCAGTCAAGGACTGCCCCCTGACTTGCATACTGGCTTTAGGCAACTTACTTGCCCCTTTCAGAACCTCGATCTCTTCACCTATAAAATGGGAGAACCACCACTATCTTCCTAGGGCTTCCCTGAAACCAAACCAGGTAACATCTACCTAACGAGTGCTCAGTAAAGGCTTGATAAAGAACACAATTCTGATTAAATGGTGATCAATGGTATATACTTCTCCCATCTCCCTTCTCTTGTTTCAATCCCCACCCTTCTCTGTTTTTGCCTTTGTGAATTAGAGGGAATGCTGGGGTCAGGCCAAAAGATGGCTTGATAAACCATAAAGTGGCTCATCTCTTCTAGAAGCTCACTGGTACGAAAATGAATGAGCTTTTTCAGCGGGGGAATCCTGGAACTGGGGCTGTCATTGACATGGACACGTGAGTCCTCCAACCAGGGTTATTGGGACTGAAGAGTTGTTGGCTTCCTTGACAAGAATTGGTATCTCGCTGAGGACCAGAAAGGGTGCCTTTACATCATCTCCATCCTTACACCACTCGGAAAATCCCCACCTTACCTACGCTACCTGGAATGCCTTTACCTGCCCCAGATCTACCAACCGCTTAATTATACAAGTGCATAAACAAATTAAATGATGGGTGGAAGAAGGTGGTGGAAGGAGGAGATAGGTGGGAGGAAGGGTGGGTGGGAGGATGGATGGGTGGGAGGATGGATGGATGGATGGGAGGATGGATGGATGGGAGGATGGATGGACAGACAGACGGAGGGGAAGACAGATGGATGGAAGGATGGACGGGTAGGGGAGAGGTGGGTAGGAGGGCTGATAGATGGAAAGCGAGAGAAAGGGCCGAGAGCAGCCACCTCTGATAACTATGCTATCAGGACTAGCCACATCCCTGGAAACCTACATGAGGAATCTTTCAAAATATTTTCCCAAACAAACAAGTTTGTTCCTATTACTAGAAGGAAAATAGGACACAGGATGGTGAGGAAAAAGGAAAGCTGGACTGGTAGAAATATTTCAAGTCAAGCTGCTCTGTAAACATGGTCAAGGTGAATGATGTCCTCTGCTATTAGGATTGAGAATGTGGTCCTGAGATCTTCACGGGATCTTTCTGTCTGGACTAAAACAGATGAATCTGGAGGTGAAGAAGTTTCTTGGGCACCACTCAACAGAGCTCAAAGATGTCGGGGACTTCATGTGAGAGGCACAAGAAGCCCCTAGCTCACAGAATCACCAGGCTGAGCTGTGAAACTTACCACAAACTTATCTTTGAGGAACTTGGCACTGCTCATTTTGAAGTTGACCATAGGCAAGACAGTCTTCAACTCTCGGAGGCTGATGCTGCAAAAAAAAAAAAAAGAGAGAAACCCCAGCTCCATCAACCTCAAAGTGTTTCAACAGTGGAGAGTTTGGCTACTCCCATCAGCTACCACCTCGGGCGACCCTCTATGAGGAGACCCTGCCAACAGCTATTAAGTGAGCACTAACTGAAAACAAGAGACCTGGGTTCAAGATGGGGCAACGGGGTTGGGGGGACACCTTGATGCACAAGGCTGATCTCCACCCTTCAGGGATGGCCGTGGACGTGGTCACGTAGGACATGCACACTGTGAAAAGATGGTGTCCAATGACCAGATAACCTCTGCAGATATGAAATGTCACAGGGATTCGAACCAAGGGGAGGTCACTGAAGGCCAAAGAGGAGGAAGGGGAAGGACCCAACCTTATGTGAGCACCTCCTATGAGCCAGGCTGCCCTGGGGGTCATCCAGGCAATAATGCAATCGAACCCCTCACCGCATTTCACCTTGTACACAGTAGGCATTACCGACCCCTAGGGTTCAAAACAGGCAATGGGGGAGGGGTGGGGGAGGACTGGGGGATTGCTACTCAAGGTCAGAGCTCAGTGGCAGCAGAGCCTGGGTCTGAATCAAAGCCCAAAGCATAAAGTCATTGGCCTACACCCCGGAGATCTTCATGAGTGTGTGCTTCCGGGTCTGCCTATAACCATCACGTGTGACTGTCTCTCAGGAGGGATGGGATGCAGGTGGCGGGTCAAGGGCATGACATGCAGTCCCTGGTGATTGCAGAGCCAAGTGTCCAGCAGAGTGAGAGAGGGTGGTCTGGGCATGGCAGCGGGGGGTGGGTGCAGAGAAAACTGCTCTGTGTTCTGGAGATATCAGATTGGTCAGGGGCTGTGCATGGCCAAGGAGGGAAGCCTGCTCAGGTCGTGGGCAGGAAACGGCCCAGTTTCCCCAACACTGTCACCTCGGCCTCTGCCAGTCCACGCAGAAGAAAGCAGCATGTTACACTCAGCAGCTGCCTCTGGAGATGACCAAGTAGGACTCCTGGCCATCCAACTGTCCCCACCACGAGCTTTCAGAACTCTAGTCTAATAGCCTCCCTAACATCCTTTACATGCAAGATGCTTCCCTACCCCACCCCTAGTACCGGGCTGGCACCAAGGGCTTCCCAGAGGGATGCTGAGAGCAACGAAAGGCCTCTGGCAGGCGGGCTGGGGCTAGCCAGGCAGAGACGCGAGCAGGACGGCTGAGACCCCTTTCTGACCCAGCCCCTGGGGTGTCCAGAAGAACACGATGTAGGGGAAGGAGTGGTGGGGGCTGGCGCTGCAAGGCGAGACAGTGGGAGGGTCTGGCCAAGCTGGTGGCCCAGCGGACTTCATCTAGAACCAAGGGAGAAGCCAGAGTCCCCGCGAGAACCCAAAACTCCCAGGCAGAGACAGGACCAAAGAAACCTTCCCACACCCAGGAATAAAGACTCTGGGGGCTGGGAGACAGTGCCGCTGCCTGGGGGCCACTAGAGCAAACTCGGGGCCCAGGGGCATGAGAACCTGAGCCCCGGGACATACAAACCCACGTGCTCCAAAAGCCCCACCTAATACAGGAGCGCTTGGGTCTCCAGGTAAAGGTGGTGGGCTAAAAAGCTGCCTTGCGCTCCTCCTGTGCTGGGACCTCACCACTCCACTCTCCCCTCCCCACCCCCCCACCCCG